CGGCACTCTATCTCTCCCACCGCCCGCGTTCGGTAGTCTCGAGCTGTTTCCCCCACTCCAGGTTGATCGATGGTGATGGGCAGGCGAAGGAATGAACGAGGGCCAGGCTGGTCAGTATCAATTGTAGTTTATTCCAATATTGAGCCTCTGCCTGAGCCTCAGCCTGGCCTCAGTCCCTGCTCTCTCGAGCCCAAACCCCGTTCGAGTTTATAGTCTTAGTTTATATACCAATCACGTGGGGTGGTGACACAAAGGTGGGTTGAACATTAACAAATCAGCAAAGAGAGGTAAGACCACTCCTCAAGGAGATTAACTCAAGGATTAAATCTCATCTAAAGAGATTTATTCCAGATTACTAGGAGATCTGCTCAAGGGTGGGATCCCAACAAGGGTGTATTCTTTCCTCAGATAGTAATCTACTTAAATAGTTGTAGTAAGTCTACTTCCAATATTTCTAGCAATGTCATTCTGTATGAGCACAGTAAGAGATAAACTTACAGTTTGGTTCTTCCTGAGGACATCTCACTATGTATTCCGATATATATATATTACAATCCCCAGGCCAGGTTAGTCTTCCTAGCCCCAGCAGGGTCCTAGTCTCGTCGTTACTTACTTTTGGATCATGACAGCATTTGTCCATGAACATGCCCTCAACTTATAGTCGAGTACCGTGGCGCTTTGGCCTGGCCCATTTCGATGCCAGGGTAGCTCACAGCTTGCTCTGGGTCCATTCAGTCCCTCATCAGGACCCGCCTTTGTGGTGCCAGGAACTAAGGGCAACTGAGTCAAGAAAGCAGATGCTCAGGAGTAAATATTATTCGGAGTCAATCAACTCCCAAGTTACAAAGCATAACATTAACTGTCTTTTTGTGTCCATACAGAAAGGACTTTGCTTTAAGTTAAACTATGCAAAGGATATAACTTACAAGTTCAGTGTCCTCAGAAGGATCTGATCTTTTTTTTTTTTTTGGAGGAGTACTGCTATTTATTCAGCCACTGATTAGCTGATTGAATTGTGCATGAACTCCAACTTACTTTTTTTTCCATTTTTTATAATTTTATTTATTGAATCACCGTGAGAGCAGTTACAAAGCTTTTGGGTCTAAGTCTCAGTCATACAATGAAACACCCGTACCTTCACCAATGCCCATTCTCCACCACCAAAAATCCCAGTATACTCCCATCCCACACCCTCCCCCTGCCTGTGAGGCAGATGATTTCCACATTACTCTCTCTCTACTTTGATCACATTCACTATTTCGACACCAGATCCACCATTATTTGAGATTTTACCCCAACACTCAGATCTGCTGGAAAGGCAACAATAGACAATTTGTGTTCTATTGCTGGTTATGAATAACATATGATGTCGTGTGACTGCAGTAGGGCCATGTGGTTTTGAAGTTCTGAAATTTTAACACTTAAATCTGGAGGGATTCCTGCCAAAAGCCACTGGGTTTAGAGATCTGCTCCTGAGTCTCTGGGATCATGGCCGTTGAGCAGCTTGATGAGGAGCCAGAGAGGCCGTTCGTGGGCGATGACTTGGGGTCTCGTTGGGGTGGGGAGTACAGGCCTGGCTCCACCCCCCCCCCCATCCTGTGAGGCCCAACAAGTTTCGTTACTGCGGGCCCAAGCCTGACTGTCCAATGGCCTCTGGAGGATGACAGCCACCAAGTCACCAAGAGGGAGCAGGCGGAGGGACAGCACCCATTCCCCCCTGGGGTGGCCCGGCGACAGTAACCTACTGCGGGGTCCGGACACATTTCTGCCAAATGCTGCTGGGTTTCGAGATTTGTTTCTGAGTCTCTGGGATCAAGGCCGTTGAGCAGCTTGATGAGGAGCCAGAGAGGCCGTTCGTGGGTGATGACTTGGGGTCTCATTGGGGTGGGGAGGACAGGCCCGGCTCCACCCGCCCCCCCATCCCGTGAGGCCCAACAAGTTTCGTCACTGCGGGCCCAAGCCTGACTGTCCAATGGTCTCTGGAGGATGACGGCCACCAAGCCGCCAAGAGGGAGCAGGCGGAGGGACAACACCCTTTCCTCCCTGGGGTGGCCCGGCGACAGTAACGTAGAGTCCGGATGCATTTCTGCCAAAAGCCACTGGGTTTTGAGATTTGTTTCTGAGTCTCTGGGATCATGGCCGTTAAGCAGCTTGATCAGGAGCCAGAGAGGCCATTCGTGGGCGATGACTTGGGGTCTCGGGGTGGGGAGGACAAGCCCGGCTCCACCCCCATCCCGTGAGGCCGTGTGTCTCATCACTGGGGGGCCCAAATGTGACTATCCAGTGGCCTCAGATGGATGGCGGTCACTGGGCCGCCAGGGGGAACAGGCCAAGGCATGGAACCTATTCCCACCTGCGTTGGCCCAGCACTGGTAGCCTACTGCAGAGACCAGACGCATTTCTACCTAAAGCCACTGGGTTCTGAGATTCATTTCTGAGTCTCTGGGATCATGTCCATTAAGCAGTTCAATCAGGAACCAAAGAGGCCTTGCCTCCAATTATATAGCTGAGCCGGAGGTGGTTTGTGGGTGTGTTTCCCACATACCTAACTTTTGGCCGTTTACTTTCTTGGTAAACTTTGCCCCAAGTTTTTTGGGTCTGGCCAAAGGCACAGCAGCAATTTTGGGGTATCTGGAAGTCTGAAGGCGCCATGAGGCTGCTGATGCACTCGCCTCACAGGTACAGATTAGAAGGATCTGATCTTAACAAGCTAACAGAATCTGATTAGGGAGAAAAGGTGATCAACTGGCTGGGGAGGAGAGCACAGAGAAGAGTTTACAGATAAACAGAGGAATGGGAGTGACTCGGGAGCACTGTGACCCGATAAACCTAAGCTCCCAGTGGCAATGTTATTCTACAAAGGACCAAACATGGTAACCTCTCAGGGTCTGTATTGAAAACTATAATGCCCCAAAGTAGAGAGAGATTATGGGGAGTCATATCTGCCATGGAGGCAAAGGGAGGGTGGGAAAGGGGGGATATACCCGCGATATTGGTGGTGGGGAATGTGCATTGGTGGAGGGATGGGTGTTTGACCATTGTGTGATTGTAACCAAAACATCAAAGCTTATAACAAAAAAAGAGCCCCCGTCACCGACAGAGCCCCTTATCACAGACAGAGCCCCCCAAGCCCAAACCCTGAATGGACCACGTGTAGCTGCTCAGTACCAGGCACAGATCTGGGCCCCAAAGGACAGTCCTGAGACCTCCCGCCTGCAGTGTCCCACTGTCCACTAGAGGGCACCTCACCTTCCCTACCCAGCTCTGGATCCATTGATGTGGTTAGTTTCTAGGAAAATCAGACCAGACTTCACTTACCATGTCAATGTCTGGTAAACTGAGAAAATCAGTGTGCTTCTCCCATGTCAGCATGCGCCAGGTCTGGCGTGATGCTGTGTCCTTCCTGCAGTACAAGGTGGGCAGATGGTCGCCAACACAGAGTCCTCTTTGTTCAAGGTCAGGAGGGGGCACAGAGGCATGTGGGAAGCATGCTGAGCCTTGTGTGCATGTATAAAACACACACACATATGTATATCTATATGTAAAAATATATTTCCTTCTAAGATTGGTTAATGGGCTGGAGCAATAGCACAGTGAGTAGGGCATTTGCCTTGCAGGTGGCTGACCCAGGTTTGATTTCTCTGTCCCTCTCCGAGCCCGGCAAGCTACTGAGAGTATCCCGCCCCCACAGCAGAGCCGGGCAAGCTCCCTGTGGTGTATTCGATATGCCAAAAACAGTAACAAGTCTCACGATGGAGACTTACTGGTTCCCACTCAAGCAAATTGATGAACAGCCGGAGGACAGTGCCACAATGCTAAGATCGGCTGCCTTCTACTTTGAACCCCATCAAATGTGGTGCGCTACTCTCCGAGTATGAGTGGAGTGAGGCATGAGATGTCCAGGAACAGGTTCACTGAGGCTCGGCCTGAGGTGTGGAGAAGGGCCCTGAGCAAGTCAGCAGTTGAGTTCTGGAGGTTTCCAGCTCCCCTGGGGCAGGGAGGGGCCTCACCCACCAACCCGGCTACTGGGCGCCCTGAACGCAACAGCCTGGAGCGAGGTCCAGGGGCATGGCTATGGCGAGTGGGCCTGTGCTCTCTTCCAGGAGAGCAGCACAGGACCACCGCCCTGAGATCATCTGGCGCCAGCCAGGGGTGGCTGGTGGGCGCGACCGCCAAGGTGCGGGAAACAGGGGCCAGGCGGGAGGTCACCCATCCCCGGGTCCATGCACCTGGAGTCTTCAGTCCCGAGTCCTGCAGAGCAGGGCAGCGCTGATGGAACGAGGCTTGCTCGGAAAGGAGAGGAACTAGAGAGGGGGACCGTGTTCAGGGAAGAGCGCGGGCTCCCCCGGAGCGTGGTCAAGGGGGACGCGGCCCGGATGGGGACCGATTTCTGCCTCGCTCCGTTTGGGGGCCACGCCGGGGGACACTCGCTGCCCCTCCTGCCCGCGCCCGGGGAACCCGCGGGCGCCAGGGACCGGGCCCGGCCTGGCCGCGCGCAAGGCCGCTCTGCTGTGCTGCAGCTTCGGCCCGGAGCCCGGGAGGCCCCTCGGAAGCGCCCCGGGGCGGGGGTCGCGGGCGTCCGGGCGCCCACTCGGGTCACCCTCGCGCGCCCCGCGGAGCAGAGCGGGGGGCGCCCGACGCTGCCGGGGGGCCAGACGCCTCGTCGCCAAGGGGCCCGACCCCACCCTGGCCTCGGTGGGCGGCCTGTCGCAGGCCGGGGGGTTGGGGGGTGGTCCCGCGACGCCCCCTCCTCTTGTGGGGACCCTCCCCGCGGCGCCCCGCCCCCCAGCGCCACGCCCCCCACCCCGGCCCGGCCCGGCCCCCTTGGGCGCACGCGGCTCCGCGCGCCGCCGCCGCCAGGGGCAGCAGCGAGGCCGGAAGTGGCGCCTCGCCGGAAGTCGGTCGCGCGCCGCCGTAAAGCGCCGCGGCTTTGCGACCCGGGCTCGGCGCGCGGCGCTCACGTGGGCGCGGCTGGACGCGCGCCCGGGACCCCCGCCCGGGACCCCCGCCCTGCGACCCCCGCCATGGGCAAGCGCCGCGGCCAGAGCCGGAGCCGGCTGCTCGGCTCGCTCAGCAAGAAGCAGAAGAAGCACCTGCGCGACTTCGGCGAGGAGCACCCGTGCCGCGACAGGTGGGCGCGGCCGGGGCCGGGGCCGGGGCCGGGGCCGGGGCCGGGGCCGGGGCCGGGGTCGGGGCCGGGCCGAGGTCGGGGCCGGCCGGGGGCGGCGCTGGCCGCCGGACTCCGCCACCGGCCCGCGGGTCCCGGGCTCGGGTCCGGAGTCGAAGCCGAGAAGTTCCCGGAGAGGCGAGGACGCCGTTCCCCCGGCGAGGAGCCCCCTCCCCAGAGAGACCCCCGGGCCCCGGACCCCCGCCCGCCCTGACTTGGCGCCGCCGCCCCGGGTGTGGTCGAGGCCCAGGCTGCAGCCAGCCCTGGTCGGACGGAGCAGAGCCGGCCCCGCTCGCTCTGGGTCTTCCTGCACCCTCGAGGGCGGGCGCCCCCCACCCCCACCCCCACCCCCGGGAAGGGCTGAGCGGGGCCCACGTCCTGCGTGCTGGAGGCCTCTCGGAGTTGGGGTCCGCTTCGACCTGCACGCAGCCCCTAAGTCTCCGACCCCACGAAGGGCTTGGGATCGGTACATCCTGGCATCGTAAGGAGAGCGCTTTTGGGGGGGCGTCACCCCCAAGCCTCACCCCCAAGCCCCTGTTAGCCCTAAGCGCCATCTCCCCGGCCCGGACCCTGGTCCTGTTTCTTGCGACGGAGCCGGTTCTGGTGGCCCAGGGCTTTCTCATGCGCGCGTCCCTGCCACGGGCCAGGTTCACTCCAGCCTCTCGGACACACCCCCAGCAAGAGGGGCTGAACTGCCTCTTTCTTTCCAGGGTTCCCAGGAAGGAAGTCAAGCCGCAGGCCTGTGAGCTGGTAACACTCAGCCCCGCTGGGCTCAGACAGCTGCTCCTGGGACGGTGCCCGGTGCCAGGCGGCGGCTTGCCTTTCAGCAGGGCGGCCAGCTCAGCCCAGGCCCGGCGCAGACAGCCCTGCGAGAACTGACCAGAAGCGAGTTTGGTGCTGGGGCTGGGTGGGGGGTAGGGGCCTCTCAGGCATCTTGGGCGGCTGCCCTGTCTGCTCCCTGTGAGGTCTCAGGTCCGTTCCATGCCCATAAGCTGTGTGGCGCTCCCAGGGCTTTGGGCGGCCCTGGGACTCGGGGTCACGCTTTCTTGGAAGTTGCGCTTAGACTCAGGTTTGGCACGAGGCTTGGTTGCAGCAGTGCACAGGAGCCAGTGGGCCACCAGTGCGGCCTCCCGCCTTCAGCCCTGGTTTCCCTGTAGGCCGAGAGCTCAGATTCACCCAGTTCTGACAGCGAAGAGGAGAACGAGCCACAGCCCGTCTCTGGGTACCACCGGTTGCTGGCCACCTTGAAGAGTGTTCCCGAGGACTCGGAGGAGGGTGAAGACTCCTCCACCGGCGAGTCTGCCGTGAGCGACAGGGATGATGGCAGTGAAGACAGCGCAGAGGAAGAGGTGGCAGGCGGGGCTGCACAGCAGGAGGGTGAGTGCGGGTCCTGCGAGCCCCTGTTTGCCCCAAGAGGTTGCTGTAGCCCCTTAGTTGGGGCTGGAGAGCAGCGGGGAGCCCCCAGTTCTATGCACGTGATGGGTCTTGCAAGCACGTGCACGTGTCTTACTCTGCCGGGGTGCCAAAATTCCTGGTCTGGGTGCTGGGCTCACCCTCTCCTCTCTGGAAGTGCCCATCGTTGGTGCCAGGCAGGAGTGTGCTCTGTGTGGAGTCCTGGCAATGGCTCCTTGCGGTGCTCCAGCTAGCCCCCTCCCCCCCCCCCCCCCCCCCGGAAACTGCTTCCTGTTGGGTCTCCCTGGCTTTTCCTATTTTCTGGATGTTCTGTGTTTGAAGTGTGTCCTTAGAACAGTCCTCTGTAAAGCTTTCAGGACAGGCCGTGTCCGCAACTCGTGAGAGCGATGCCTCATGCTTTCTCCAACAGCGGACTTGGCTGTGGGTTCCGTGTGGCCGTGGGCCCAGCTGGGGTTTCTTCCTTTGTCTTGGGGCCACACCCACGGTGATGGAGACTGGGCACCTCTGGACCGACTCCCCGGGCTTCCACTTCTCTTGGGTCGTGGGCAGTGGGCATGGGTCCCCTCAGGCCCCACTGCCCTCACCAGTGCTTCTTGTCATTGCAGCCACATCCAGGCCTGCTAGCCTCACGGGCCGCATGGGGGATGGGGCCCCAGGTTCCCCACAGCAGGAGTCCCCGAGGGAATTTGCCGATACCAAGCACGAGTCCCTCTTCAGCCTGGAAACGAACTTTCTAGAAGATGAGAACGTGGGCAGCAGCGCCCTGGAGGGCTCCCAAGGTCAGGGCACCTCTGGAGTGACCACGGTGGGCAGCAGCCCTTGGGGCTGCACCTGCGGGTACTGACCTGGGAAGGAGGGGCCGGGCCTTTTACCTCCCTACTCCCTGCACCGCAGTCTGTGGGTGGGCGGCAGCCGGGTGCTGTGGCTTCTGAGGTCGGGAGCACGGGCTGCCTTGGGCATTCAGAGGTGGGCGGGTGGGACCGGGAAGGCATGGGGCCTGGTGCCCATGGGCAGAGCTGACCAGGGGGCCCTGCGTAGACCCTTTCCTTCAGCACGTGAGCCGAACACTGAGAGAGAAGGATGTCCAGGCTGCTGCCTCCGCCCCCCCGAGCAGCTGGTCTCTGCAGGTTAGCATGGCAGGGTCCTTCCGGAGCCCTGGGGTTTAGGCTGCTGCCCGTGCTCTAGCTTGTGCCTGGTGCCCTCTGTTGGGGCTGCCCTGGAAACCCAGGCAGGACACGTGGCCTCCTGTGGTTCTCACTGGGCCTCTGTCTCCCCACTGATGCTGCCCGGACTCGGGCTGTGGGGCTCAGGTGCGGCTGCGGCTCTGAGTAAGCCCTGCCGTCTCCAGGGCTGAGGGGTTCAGCCAGGACAGTGCGGGGTTTCCTCGCCCTTCGTAGCCCTTCAGGAGGGGCATGGGCCAGGGCCTAGGGCATGGCTCCCGCTGGGGGCGGGGGTGTCAGACCTTGGTTCCTGATCTGCACGCAGGGTCCCCGTGTGCTGCTTTGCTTGCTAGTTTCTGCTGTGTGGGGACGGGGCAGGCTTGGCCTCTGTTGCTGCGCCTGACCACTGATCCTGCTAGTCATGGGCTCCTGGAACCTTCTGGAAAACGGGGTCGGACCCGGGGGGGGGGTGCGGTGTTTGTCCCAGCCAGGCCACTTCTGTGGGGCCTGTGACTAGAGACTTCATAGAACAAACCTTTCCCTTGTGGAGTGTGGCTCTGGTGCCTCCCGCCTCCTCCCTCGCCCCGTGCCCCCTTGCCTGGGGGTGTCGCCCTGACGATCCCCGTCTGTCTCCTAGTGGCCGGTGCTGGGCCAGCTCGTGCTCTCCTCCAGGTTCCAGCAGCCGGAGGCCCTCAGGCCCCCACGGGATGTGGCCCTGCAGTCACTGCATCTGCACAAGCCCCTCGAGTCCACCTGGCCTCGGACCAATGGCGTGGCCCCCGGCCCCTTCACGCCCCTCCAGAGGGAGCTGTTCTGGGTGATGAACTCGTACCGAGACCTCTTCTTCCCCGAGCGCTCGGCGCTGGGCTGTGGCGAGGAGGTGAGGCGCGTGTACTGCTTGCACGCGCTCAACCACGTGCTCAAGGCCAACGCCCGTGTCCTGGCCAACAACGGGCTTCGCCGGGTGCACGGACCACAGGCCCGCACCGACGACGACGCCCTCCGGGACCAGGGGCTCACTCGGCCCAAGGTGAGGGGCCACAGGGCCCAGCAGGAACCTGTACCCACCAACTCCACGGCCGCCTGCCTGCTTCCGGCAGGGTCCCCGCCCCGCTCCCCCCCCACGACGTCCCTCCCCTCCAGGCCTGGGGTCTGAGAGCCTCTTGGATACGTGGCTTTCGTGTGCTGAGCAGTCTGTGCTGGTCTTGGCAGCCGAGGCTCTCTGGGCAGTGCCAGGGCACAGTGAACAGTGACGGCCCCACTGAGTCACTCGGAGACACTTGGGCCTTGTTTCCGAGAGCAGCTGCTGGGGCCCCGATGCCTTCTGGAAGGGCCTGCCGTGCGGTGGGGGTGTGGAAGTGGGCTGCAGGAGGGGGGTGTGGGCCAGGGTCAGTGCATCAGGCCGCTGCACGTGCTCTGGCTGGCCCACAGGTGCTGATGGTGCTGCCCTTCCGGGAGTCGGCCCTGCGCGTGGTGCACCTGCTCATCAGCCTCCTGGAGGGCGACAGCGGGAAGAAGATGGTCGTGAGCAACAAGAAGCGGTTCCAGAGCGAGTACGGTTCTGAGCCCGGGGAGCGGCCGCCCACCCTGAAGAGGCCCGAGGATTACGAAGCGGTGTTCGCGGGCAACATTGACGACCACTTCCGGATCGGTGATGCCGGGTGCTGGTGGGGGGCCCCCGGACAGGCTGAGGAGGGCGGGGGCTGACCGTGTGCCTGCCTGCAGGTGTGGCCGTGCTCCAGCGCAGCCTCCGCCTCTATGCCCCCTTCTACTCCTCCGACATCCTCCTGGCGTCCCCCCTGGGCCTGCGCACCATCCTGGGGGCCGAGGGAGACAAGCAACGGGACTTCGACTTCCTGTCGTCCATCGAGCTGCTTGTTATTGACCAGGCTGACGTCTTCCTGATGCAGAACTGGGAGCACGTGCTGGTGAGCCCCAGGAGACCCCGGGGGCAGGGCTCCGGGGCACCCTCCCCCAGATAAGGCGGAGCTAGTGGAACCTCCCAGGAAGCGCTACCTCTTTCCAGCTCCCCTAGGGCCTTGGCCTCGGCTCTGTCTGACCCACCCCAGGAAGTCTGCCCCGTGCCTGCCTCTGTCTGTGGGGCAGAGGCCCAGGTGCTCCTGCCCGTCACCCGGCCCAGCTCACGGGTCTGGGACAAGGAAGGGCAGCTCGAGGTGCGTGCAGCCAGGGCAGTGCGTGCAGCCAGGGCAGTGCCCGCCATCAGAGGCGCACGCCAGGGGCTGCTGGGGTCGAGTCCCCGCTGGCTCCAGCTCCCGCTGAAGAGCAGGCAGGAGCTGCCCTGGAGCCTGGCGGCTGCTTCCTGTCTGGCACAGTGCCCAGCCCCCCAGGCCCCAGCCCCGGACAGCCACTGAGTCTTGTCTTGGGGGTGTCCAGGTGGCCTGCACCCACCTCTCCGCCTGGTCTCGTGCTCCTCGTGGGGAGGCGCGTGTGTGCGTGATTGCGGTGTGGCTGTGCATGTGTGTGGCAGCCTGTGGCTGCGTGTGGGTGACCCGTGTGCCCATCTGCTGCTGCCCCTCCCCAGCACCTCATGGAGCACATGAACCGGCTGCCCCTCGAGGCCCACGGCGTGGACTTCTCACGGGTGCGCATGTGGAGCCTCAACGGCTGGACCCGCTACTTCCGCCAGACTCTGCTGTTCGGGGCGCTGCCGGACCCGCAGATCAGTGCAGTGTTCAGCAGGTTCTGCCTCAATGCAGAGGGCCAGGTGGGCGCCCCGGCCCTGACTCCCTGCTCCCCGCAGGGCAGGTGGGTGTCCTAGCTTGTCTGCTCATCCCTACCCGGTTCCACCCCCGCCCCCAGGTGGCTGTGAGGAACGTCCCAGTGACCGGTGCCATCAGCCAGGTGCTGCTGCAGCTCCCACACGTCTTCCAGAGGATGGAGGCCACGGACGTGGAGTCCATGGCCGATGCCAGGTGATGGGGGGGCGGGGCAGGGCAGGGCAGGGCAGGGGAAAGGGCTGCAGGGCCGAGAGGAGGGCCCGGGGGCAGGAGGACACAGGTCCTGGCAGGTGGTGAGGGAGGGAAAGTGACCCTGGGCTTCCCCGCCAGGTTCCGCTTCTTTGTGGACAAGGTCCTGCCTCAGTACCAGGATGCGGTCATGTCCCACACCCTCATCTATGTCCCGTCCTACTTTGACTTTGTGCGGCTCCGGAACCATTTCAAGCGGGAGGAGCTGAGTGCCACGCACATCTGCGAGTACACCCGCAGGCCGGCCGTGTCCCGCGCCCGTCACTTCTTTCTCCGCGGGGAACGGCAGTTTCTGCTTCTCACCGAGCGCTTCCATTTCTACAAGAGGTCAGCACTGACTGCCACACACCCCCGGGGTTCCCAGCTGGAGCTTCTGGACTGAGCTGGTTCCCCTCTGGGGGGACACCTGATTTTCTCCCTGACCTGGGCTGAGCACAGTGTCCGGCCCTCAGCGAATGGCCCCCTTGGTCTGCAGAAAGTTGACACAGCCTCTTCCCCCAGGTACACCATCAAGGGCGTGAGGAACCTGATCTTCTACCAGCTGCCTACCTACGGGCACTTCTACAGTGAGCTGTGCACCATGCTGGGGGCCACGGGCATGGGGGAGCAGGCCTGGACATGCACTGCCCTCTACTCCCGCTACGATGCCCAGCGCCTGGCAGCCGTGGTGGGTGCAGAGCGGGCGGCCCAGATGCTGCAGTCCACGAAGAGTGTCCACCTCTTCGTCACTGGCGAGCGGTGAGGCCACTGGAGCCTGACCCGGGCCCACGAGGGGTGACGGCACAGCGAAGCCTCCTCAGGGACCTCCCCGGCTTCTGGGGTCCAGCTTCCTCCCCTGCGGCGGCTGCTGTTTGGCACTTTCTCATCCCTGCCGTCATGTGCTCTCCGCTGCTCAGAGCTGCTTTAGACGCGTCTCCCCGCAGATCCAGGGTGCCAGTACCAGAGCTGTGCCTGGCACGTGGGAAATGATGCTGATTAAACCTTAGGCAGGGTATTCTCCGTGAGTGTGTTAGGGGGACGGACACCTGCTCGTGAGCTCTGGCCGTGGCGCCCTTCTCTGGAGCACATGGGTCACATGGGCTCAGGGTTGACCTGTGACCCACAGTTTGTCCCCTTGCTGGTATGTGGCCCATGCCCCTCCCATGTCACCCACTGTCCGCTCCGTGGTGAGCGTGACCGTTGGTCACCCCCTCCGTGCTGAATGGTCCATGGTGGTGGAGTCTCTAGTGCCCATCTCCATGACGGACACCCAGGCCCAAGTGTCTGCTAGCTTGACCCCCTGGGCTGCAGGGTTGCCCCTCACCCCTCTCAGCTCCCCTGAGACCACAGGGTGCCTCCCCACACATACGTACGCATGGGCTTTCCTTGCCCATTCCTTATTATTGTGTCATTCACAGGGCCACAAAAATAGAACTACTGTTGAGGGGCTACAGCCAGCTGCGCTCAGGGTGACCCTGGGAAATGGGACTGGTTGCCTGGGGGCCAAGTGTCTTTCCTGGTTGGGCCCACTGCAGATTCAAGGCAAGCCTGGGCAAGGCCAATGGGACCCTCACAGGAGCCTCATAGGAGACCCACAGGAGATCCACAGGAGCCTAAGGGACCCACAGGACCCCAGCGTGGCGTTTTCCTGTCCGTGGTCCTGTTCCAGAGGAGCCCCCTGGGGTGGTGGTGGAAGTGGGCCTGAGCCCCAGAGGTGGTCCCCCATCATTACAGACTGGGCCCAGCCACACCCAGAGACCGATATTGTGGGGGATGTGTGGAATGGCCCTTGCTTTGCTGTCTTCACACTGCCCCTGAATGGCCCTCCCGAGTCCTCTGTGCACTCCCTATGTCCCCCACTTGGTCCCCCGTGTCTTCTGCCACCTTTGCTCCTTCCCCGGCACCCATGTGCTGTACCTAGGCCAAGCCTCTCTGCCAGCTTGGCGCACGGGTGGATTGGACGAGTCTATAAATAACGAGAAGGATGTACTAAGTGCCCATTTGCCTTTAATTTGAGTTACATAAGAAAACATTAGCTTTAGGTGAGAAGGAGTCATTTGAAGTTATTCGGACCTTCAAACTGCGAGTGTGCCAGTTAAGTGGTGAGACCCCTCCTGGCCCGGAGTACAGGGGGAAAGCAATACTCGGGTCTCACAGACTTGTTTTCTAAAAAATCAATGGAATGTTCCTAAATAACAATACAATTGTCTACTTGCAGTTTAGAAACTATTCAATTAGTTTTTAATAAAAGGAGTTTTATACAAAGAATAAAACAGTCTTTACTGAGCCACATGGCAGAGAAACACGTGGGCAGGTGTAGGATGACAATGGGTTTGTCCTCTCAGTCTTGCCACGGGGGACTTAGTTTACCTTAACGCAATGTCCTTTCTGTAAGGACACAGGAAGACAGTTAATATTATGCTTTGTAACTTGGGAGTTGATTGACTCCAATAATATTTACTCCTGGGCATTTGCTCTCTCGACTCAGTTGCCCTTAGTTCCTAGCACCCCAAAAGCACGGTCCCGACGAGGAATTGAATGGACCCAGGACAAGCTGTGAGCTACTCTGGCATCGAAATGGGTCAGGCCAAAGCACCACAATACTCGACTATAAGTTGAGAGCATGATCATAGGTAAATGCAGTCATGATCCAAAGGTAATGATGAGAATAGGACCCTGCTGGGGTTAGAAAAACTAACCTGGCCTGAGGACTGTGGTAAGACCTCCTCAGGAAGAACCAAACTTTAAGTTCATATATCTCTTAACTGTGCTCATATTGATGGCCTCCCTGGACCAGCCCACACAGACAGTGGTGATGCACCGCACCGAGCCCACTGCCCAGCAGAACCTGGCTCTGCAGCTGGCTGAGAAGCTGGGCATCCTGGTGGAGAATAACGAGCGGGTGTTTGACCACAAGCAGGGGACCTACGGTGGCTACTTCCGCGATCAGAAAGATGGCTACCGCAAAAATGAGGGCTACATGCGCCGGGGTGGCTATCGCCAGCAGCAGTCTCAGGCGGCCTACTGATTGCGCCACTTGTCTCCACGGCCAGCCACTCCGCCTTTTAAGTTCTAAACCACACCCCAGTCATTTTTAAGTTCTATTAGATTTAGTACAACTACCTAAGTGGATTACTAGCTGAGAAGAAAGCAACACACCCTGAAAGGGATCCTGCCCTTAAGTGGATCCAGAGTAATCTCTTTAGATGAGATTTTATCCTTGAGTTCATCTCCTGGAGGAGTGGTCTTAACTTCTCCTTGTTGATTTGCTAATGTTCAACCCACCTTTGTGTCATCATCCTATGTGATTGCTATATAAACTAAGACTGTAAGAGCAGCCAGAAGCAGATTCAGAATCCAGGGGCCAGAGTCAGAATCCAGAGCCAAGGGCCCCAGAGAGAGAAGCAGAAGAGCTCCAGAGAGAGAGAGAGAGAGATTGGAAGAGACCAGAGGAGAGACTACAGAGACGGAGTCGGAAATAGAAGAGAGCACAGCGGCACGCACAGAAGCAAAGCACAAAGGAGGAGCCATATTGGTCGGGTCCCTACACAGCGACTCGAGAGCCCACCAACACATCATCTTCGCATCCCTCCCCCGCGCGCGTGTAAGCTATAGTTTTTACAGGCAGGCATCTTCGTCCCAGCAGGTGGGTTTGCTTTTAAGATCTGCATCAGATCAAATGCTCCCTTCATCCCCCTTTCCCCAGGCACAGGTAAACTGATAGCAACTACACCCAGAAATTTCATTATTGGAGCAGTCAGGATGAGTATTTCGCGTGAGCTCCATCTAATGGTTTACTCTGCTTTAACCGCATCTGCTGCTCCAAGAGTCTTTAGCACCTTGAAACAGCACTTTCATGGGTAGTGGTTCTTTTCCAGCCCCAAACAGGGAGGTAGTGCAGGGATTAAACTGCCTCCCTTGCACACTGTGTTTTCAAGAGGGTGGGGGGGGGGGGAGGGGGCTCTGTCTCTCCCGCCGCCCACGTTCAGTAGTCTCAAGTCGCTTTCCCCACCCTGGGGGAGGTCAGTGGCGATGGGCAGGTGAAGGAACGAACGAGGGCCAGGCTGGTCAGTATCAATTGCAGTTTATTCCAGTCTTCACTCTCACCTCTGACTCTACCCTCTGGAGCTCCCGAGCCCGAGCCTCAGCCTGAGCCTCAGTCTCTGCTCTCTTGAACCCCAAGCCCGAGCCCGAGCTTGAGCTGAGTCTGAGCCCCAGCCTCCTCCTCAGCCTGAGCCTTCTCGCTCTCTCGAGCCCAAGCCCCCTCCAAGCTTACAGTCTTGGTTTATGTACCAGTCACATAGGGTGGTGACACAAAGGTGGGTTGAACATTAACAAATCAGCAAAGAGTGGTAAAACCACTCCTGAGGAGATTAACTCAAGGACAAAATCTCTTCTAAAGAGATTGTTCCAGATTACTAGATCTGCTTAAGGGTGGGATCCCAATAAGGGTGTGTTCTTTCCTCAGATAGTAATCTACTTAAATAGTTGTAAGTCACAATCACAAATCACAAATCATCTTGTTATTGGTCGATTGCCTTGAGCAGGCCCCAGTAATGTCTCCTTCATCCTAGCCCTGAGATTATATTCAAGGCTCTTTAGGAGAATGAGACCCATCATTGTTACTGGTATTTGGCATATTGTGTACGCCAAGGGGAGTTTGCCAGACTCTGCCCTGTGGGCAGGCTACATTTGGTAACCTGCCAGTTTGTCCAAAGTAGGAATGAGATAATAAGATGTCATAATAAGATGTCATTCGCGCATTCGCGGCCGCGCGGTTCCGGGATCTGGTTTTTATAGTCTCTGAGTCTTGGCCGCTAATGGGATTACACGGTGCCAGGGGGCCAGTTGGTGGGTGTGACCCCCGCCTACTGGAATTTGGAGGATCTGGGTGGAGGATGCTCGGCCCAAATCCGAGTAGGCTTGGGGATCTCGGCCCGGAACCTGCGTGACTTTGTCCCTCTGCCAGTACCTTCATGTGTGCGGAGAGTGGTCTCAGCATGGTGGTGGCTGGTCCTGGAGGTCTTTGGCTGCCGGAGCCCTGGTCGGGGTGGGGAGGAAAGCTCAACTTGGAGGTAAGTCTACTTCCAATATTTCTAGCAATGTCATTCTGTATGAGCACAGTAAAGAGATAAATTTACAGTTTGGTTCTTCTTGAGGGCATCTCACTATATATTCCTCAGGCCAGATTAGTCTTCCTAGCACCAGCAGGGTCCTAGTCTCGTCGTTACTTACTTTTGGATCATGACAGCATTTGTCCATGATCATGCCCTCAACTTATAGTTGAGTATTGTGGCGCTTTGGCCTGGCCCATTTCGATGCCAGGGTAGCTCATAGCTTGCCCTGGGTCCATTCAGTGCCTCGTCGCGACCCTGCTTTGGGAGTGCCAGGAACTAAGGGCAACTGAGTCAAGAAAGCAGATGCCCAGGAGTAAATATTATTCGGAGTCAGTCAACTCCCAAGTTACAAAGCATAACATTAACTGTCTTCCTGTGTTCATACAGAAAGGACATTGCTTTAAGTTAAACTATGCAAAGGACATAACTTACAATACAAGTTCAGTGTCCAAGAAGGATCTGATCTTACAAGCTAACGGAATCTGATTAGGGAGAAAAGGTGATTAACTGGCTGGGGAGGAGAGCACAGAGAAGAGTTTACAGATAAACAGAGGAATGGGAGTAACTCGGGAGCACTGTAATGGTTTAACCCGATAAACCTAAGCTCCCTGTGGCAAAGGAGAAAGGACAAACCAATGTTATCTACACACACAGCTGACACCAGTTCGATCTCCAGCACTGCACAGAGTCCCCTAGGCACAGCCAGGATTGATTCCTGAGCATCACCAGGTGTGGCCTCAAAACTAAACCAAAGAAATGAACTCAGATTTTTTTTTGTTTTATACCAGGAGCTGTAAAACCCAGCTCCCAGAAGCGCACAGCCGCATTCGTGGTCACGCGACATCTTATCATCTCATTCCTACTTTGGACAAACTGGCAGGCTACCGAATGTAACCTGCCCACAGGGCAGAGTCTGGCAAACTCCCCGTGGCATACCCAATATGCCAAATACCAGTAACAATGAAGGGTCTCATTCTCCTAACTCTGAAAGAGCCTTGAATGTGGCACTTTTAAAAAAAATCTCAGGGCTAGGATGAAGGAGACGTTACTGGGGCCTGCTCGAGGGAATAGACCAGGAGCTGCATTCCTGTTATATAGATTTCACTTGGTTTTATTTTTCGCAGTGTGGGGATGGTAAAAAGGCAGCCCACAGGCAAGATGGCGCTGTCCCAGCACCAGAGCTGAGGCCAGCATATGAGTCGGGGCCTGAGGTGCTGCCCTGTCACACGGCAGGTGGCGCAGCAAGGAGGGCCATCAGCCCATCTCTACAGTCCGTCAGAGGCCCGAGAAACCCCACTGGCTTCTGAGTTGGAACTGTCCATAGCAGGAAGAGTCTGCGTGGAAGATCAGCCTTGAGGCTGCGGACTCAGTTGTGCACGAATCTGGTGCTGGTTTGATCCCCGGAACCACGTGGTCCTGAGCACATGGCTGGGTGCAACCCTGGTGTCCCTGGCACTGCAAGGTCTGTGCCGCGCTGCATTGAACCACAGACCCATCTGGCTGAGAAGAAAGGGGCCCCAGGTTCCTGAGCTGCTTAGGCCCCCATCGCCCCAAACTGGTCTTTTGTGGTGCTGGGAGTGATCCACAGGCAGACTCTGTGACCAACACCTGTCTTTCCAAGCCTGAATTGGCTTTCCTGTGGCTGACTGGAAGGCGCCTTTTGAGGGTGCTGATTCCCAGGTCCCCCTTCAAATGCCTGGAAGTGCCTGAGTAGCTCAGCGCAACAGGGGTCACAGGCCTCCTGGTGAAAAGAATGGCAGAGAAGGTCCGTTCCAAGCTCCTACCAGCAAACCAACAGGTAAGAAGACACCTCAGGACACCAGATGAGGCTTCTGAGACAGCGTCCGGGGCTGGACCTGGGGCTGGGGGCAGAGTACAAGGCTCTGGCTACCTTTGTGTGTGGCCCCTCCAAATCTGAAGTCTCCGTGTGCTATTCCATGTTGGGCCTGCTTGTCTGCAGACAGCAGGGCTCGGCTGTGGGTGAGGGGTTAGCAGGCTGTTGCTCCCCAGATCCCTGGGAGAGAGGTTTCTCATTTCTGACGAACAGGGCCTGGGTTCCCTGAGCACTGAGAAAGGAGCCAACCCCGCTCTCCAGAAAGAAAAAACATTTTCCATTTCCCTGTGCTTGTGAACAGGGCACATTAAGGAGGAAATGGGGCGGAACTGAGCCCTTCCGAGGAGCCTCTTGCCTGTGTCTTAGGTTGAAATGTCTACTACTTTCTTTTTCCTTACCTGTTTTCCCTACCATTCTCTGTAAGGATCACATTTTCAGTGCGGGGGCAGCTGGGTGATTTTAGGGATGCGTGCAGGCTGTGGGTGGGGTGTGGTCTCTCTGGGGCCAGCAGGGCCAGTGACGCTGAGGACCTGGAGTGCTGGGGAGGGAGCTCGAGCCACAAACACCCACATCTTCCTGCCTGAACCTTAGTGTTTGCCAGTTCAGAGGAGTGACCAGTAGTGGGCCTGGTGAGGCAGAGGGGGGAGGACACTAGCGAGCAGTGTGGCCGTGTGCCCAAAGAGGCCCAGAGTAGCTGGAGCCGGTGGGCCCAGCCCAGTGCCATGGCGCCCTCTCCCATTCCCACTTTCCTTCCTGGTGGCACTGGTGCAAGTGGGTTCTCTCTCCTTCCTTCTCAGGAAAAGGGCCTGAGAATAAAAGGGGCCTTATGAGCGCGTAAGAAGAAGAGCCCCGTGTGACTGTTCCTGTGGCACTGTGGCCCATGGAAGAAAGGCAGGCCAGAGGGACCGTGGGGCCCCGCACAGGCTCTGCCTGTGAGCTCCATCCCTGCCACGCACGTTCCCCAACCACCACCGCAGGTGTGACCAAGAAACCGGCAAGCAAACAGGGAGTCTGGAGCGCACCGTGGGGATCTGCGATTCCCAGGAGTGCCAAGGACCACATCCTGCCCTGCTTGGCAGAAGCACCGCGACTCCCTGCTCCCCGGCGCCCCTGGTGACCAGGTCCTGGGTGACCAGAGGGCCGCCCTGGTTGGAGGCCCGGGAGAAAGGAAGGGTTCGGGGTCGCAGCTCCCCTGCAGACCCCGAGGCCCGCCGCAGCCACGCTCTCAAGCCCCCGTGCCAAAGCGCCCGCGAGTCCCACTCCCAGGTGGCCCCAAAGAGCGTCTGTCGCGTCCGTGTAGGTGGGAGTCGAGCCGAGGCGCCAGGGAAGCCCACCAGGGCGCGAGGAGGGAGAGGCGGGCGTGCGCGCGCGCGCGCGCGGGCAGCGCGGTGTCCTCAGGGGACCCCCGCCCGCGCCCTCGCCCGCGGCCTGGCTCCGGCGCGCCCCCCGCACCGCCGGGCGCGGCGAGGCGCTCCCGGGCCGCCCCCGTGGCCGGCGCGGCCCTGTCCATGGTCCTGACGCGGCCCGCGCTGCCGCGCCGCCGGACCCCCGCGCGCCGCCCGAGTTCGAATCCCCGCGGGCGGGCGCGGCGCGGCGGGGGCGCGCGGTCACGTGCGCGCCCGGGAAGGTGCCGCGGCCCCGCGCGCGCTCCCGCCGCCGCCGCCGCCGCGCCCGCCCCGCGCCCGCCCGCGCCCCCGGCCCGCGCCCCCGGCCCGCGCCCCGCGGCCCGCGCGGCCGCGTCCCCGCCGCGGCGCCCCGCTCGGCCCGCGGCCCATGGCGAGCGCATCATGGCGATCGAAGGTAGGTGGCGGCCCGGGCGGTCGGCCCGCGCTGGGCCCCTCGCCGCCGCCGCCGCGCGGCCCCCGGGCGGGCCGGGCCGGGCCGGGTCGGGCGCGCGCCCCCCGCGCTGCGCCCCGCGGGGCTCCGGGCCCGGCCGGCGGGCGCGGCCTCCCTCCGCGACTGGGCCCGGCTCGCGGCCCGGCCCGGCCCTGCCCCGCGAGCGGCGCGCGCCGGCCGCCGCGGGGACGGGCCCCGGGCTCGCTGGCCGGGGTCCCCGGGCGCCCGCGCCCGCGCCCGAGGGTGGCCCCGCGAGGGGGAGACGCCGTCGCCGCCGCCGCCGCCCGTGAGCACGGGGGTAGGCGAGGCCCCCGCCGCGGCCCCTCGCCCTGCCGGGCCGGACTCGCCACCGCCTGGAAAGCACTTTGTCCGGAGAGCCGTGTTGGCCCCTGGCAGCAGCCGGAGGTGCTTAGCGCTAAGTCATCCTGAGCCCGAACTTCGCGTGCGCCTACCTGGGCGGAACTTTCCAGAGCCCCCCTCCCCGGCTTGGCAGCATGCAGCTTCTGAGGCTTCTTGTGGCGGGGTGCCGGGACCTGACCGCAGATACGGGTACCGCTAGGTGCAGGCCGTGTGGGGTCTGCAGCCTTGGACACCTCTCTGGCCCCGGGGGGGGGGCTGTATGAGTTATCGGCCTAGCGAATAGATTTCCAGCTGAAAAAAATCTGGGCTCCAAATCCGCTGCTGAAGTTTTCTGGGTTTTGTTTGTTTGTTTTTAGGGGAGGGGGGCACCCTTCCCGGCAGTCTTCAGGGCTTACTCCTGGCTCTGCACTCAGGGTTCACTCCTGGCTGGGTTGGGGGGACCATATGGGGCGCTTGGGATGGAACCTGGGTCAGCCGTGTGCAAGGCCAGACCTGGCTTGAATTCTGTGCTGGGTGTCTGCAGCGGCATGTGGCTGGCTTGCGTTCTGGGTGAGGAAGGGAGAACACGGGGCTCATAGGCCAGGCTCCCTGGGTTCACCAGGTGGTGTCCGGCAAGGGCCCTCTTTCCAGACTGCAGCTTTGTGCCAGGAGTCCGCCTGCCAGGTCAGAACCCAGGACAACAGCAGGTGCTTTTGTGCTGAGCTCGATGTTGGCCCGTAGCTGTTTCTGAAGCTGCTTCTCTGGATTCTCTCTCCATTCCCAGCGCCCCCACCCCCACCCTATCCGCCCTGTGCCTTGTTTTCATGTCGCTAACGCTGTTGGCACTGCCCCTGGGACTTGCATAAAGGACACTGTTTTCTAAATTCTCTGTGTTCTGTGGATTCTTCTGTGGACTCGTATGTATGTCCACACATAGCACTCTTTCAGTGTTTCCTGGTGTCAAATGGCATTAGACAGAGGAGTTGAAGTCCGTGTTAGCATTTGCCAAAAGCTGTCTGCCGGTCCAGAAGTCAGACCAGCTCAGGACCGAGACAGAGGGGGCTGTCAGCATTGGGGGGCCCAGGAATGCCCTTGCCCAGAGCTGTTCCCAGGGACTTGGTTCTCATGCTGCTAGTGGCCTGCACACAGTCGACGTGAAATCTGAGGTTCATGGCGGCCCAGACTCCAGCAGAGAAGACAGATTTGGGGGAGGCTCCCTAGTGATTTTCTGGTGGGCTACGGGCCCCTCTCAGGGATTTTTCCAGCCAGACTGGATGGTTTCCTGCGAGGGCTGAGGATATGGCACTGCTCAGCTCTGCAGGGAGCAGGAGCTCTGGCTAGGGTGAGCTGTCTCCTCAGTCCAGGGTTTGAGTCTGAGCACAGACACGGTGCCCAGTCACTTCTTCCCACTGGAGCCTCTTTTGAAAGCACTGTTATCTGTGTCTTAAAGACAGCTCTTGAGCAAATCGTGCTGAACAAAATACCTGTGTCTTGTCTGCTGGTTCGATTGGCACGTTTCTCTCTTGGCGGCTGGTGACAGTCGTTTGATTCCAGATGGGTTGACAGGTGGCACGCAGGAAGCCCCTTCTACCCCAGAACCTAGTCCTGCCGACAAGGCTTAGCACGAGCTTCTGGGAACTTCCAGGAGGAGACCTGGCTGACCCAAAGCACCTTGTTTCACCCACTCCCCTCCCACCATGCCTCGGAAATCCTGGCACTGGTAACCGTGTTCAGAATTGAAGCCAGATCCTTCTGATCTGCCAGTTCACTCCATTCCCTTTGGTCTGATGTGGCCCTCGGGCTCTCGCCACCAGGACTCGGTGCTGCCTGACTGCTGCGTGTGAAGCCAGACTCACAGCCCCGCAGTTCCTGGTTTCTGCCCCGTGTCAGATCCAGGGGACTGTGGGTACACACCGAGCTACTCGGGCTTGGTCAGGATGGAAAAGTCACTCCGTCCTCAGGCAAGCAGTGATCTGGCACTGCAGCTACAGCAGCGCTGGGGATGGCTCGCAGACCTCTGGCTGCTGTGGCCAGGGCCATGGGCCGGTGCCGAGGTCTCTCCTCTCATCTCGGGCGACAGCGAGCCGCCTGTCCAGCCACCTTCTGTGTCCACGCTGAGTTCCTTCTCTCAACTTGCACACAAACCCCTCCATCGTCACATGTGTGAGCTGTCCTCCCAGCCCGAGCATGGCTTGGGCCGCTCTCCTGAAGGCAGTGAGCTGTAGCAGGCTGTGTGGAGCCTCCGCAGAGAAAGCCCCCTGCATTCCCGTGACGCGCCTCACCGGAACACTTGCCGTTGGCCCGCTTCCCTCTGCTGCTCATCCCAGTTCTCCTTTCTGGAGCAGCCAATTAAAACCCACTATTAATAAACTGTGGGCTCACCGAGCTTTCCTGGTTTACATTTTCAAATAGTAGCTGGAGAGCTGGTGGTTCTCACCCACGCTCCGAGTCAGTTCGCCATCTGAGTGGCAAGCCAACTCGCGAGACAGCTTCGTGAGCAGCTTGGAGATCCACAAATGAGCCCGCGGGGTTTTCTCTTCACTTTCCTCCTGTTGGTCCCAGGTCCTGCCCAAGCTGGGTCTCAGCCTGACCCGTGAAGTGAGGCTGGGCCTCTCATTCCTCTGAGAAGTCTGTCACCTCCTGGCACGTCTCGTTCTTGCCAGGCTTGACTTTCTTTCCAGGGCCTCTGGTTGTCCTGGTCAGATGCACCTCCGAGAGCTTCACACCCTCAGCTAAGTGGGCCTTCCCTCTCTCGCCTTCCCTGAGAGCCTCAGAAAGCTCGGCTGGATTGACACAGCTGATGGACACTCCTGTGTGTGGACTTGGACCACGTGATCCCTCTGGGTAAAGTTTGATTTTTCAGTTGTAAAGGAAGGATAGGTCAGAGAAATCTGGGTGTGGATTTGTGATTTTATCCTGTTGTTTTTTGTTTGTCTGGGACCACACCCAGCTGTGCTCAGGGCTCTCTCCCGGCCGGGCTCTGGGGACGGTATGTAGTGCTGGGGGTCACACTGGGTCAGCATGCAAGGCCAGTGCCTCACCCACTGATCTCTCTGCCCAGTGTTTGTGCTTTTAACCCGTCACATACTGTAGACTTCCCCACACTCTTGCACAGAGGTGTTTTTTTTTTTTTGTTTGTTTGTTTTTTGCTTTTTGGGTCACAGGGGTTCCTCCTGGCTCTGCACTGAGGAGTTACTCCTGGTGATGCTCAGGGGACCATATGGGATGCTGGGAATCGAACCCGGTTCGGCCACGTGCAAGGTAAACACCCTCCCCGCTGTGCTGTCTCTCACCCCACATCTCTGCCAGAGCCCAGCATGACCCCGCAGAGAGGGGGTTCTGGGATTGGAAAGTCACACCACCCAGGCGCCCGGCCGGGGCTGACGACTGTTTAAGAATTTCCTTTGCTTTCTGCGTGTCAGCGAGCACCTGTGCACCACTGCCGTTGCTTTTCACTTCAGTGGGCCAATGCTTCGGAGTTGACTCAGGCTCTTTTTGTAACTCACCCAGCTACATTAGCGCTCTCGGGCCTTCTCGGTCTCAGGAGCTTTTGGGGTCCTGCTGGAGGTGGAGATCTCTGTGAACACAGAGCTCCCGGGGCTTCTCAGCTCAGCTCCACTTTTCAAGACCAGGGACTGTGCTCAGCTCTGTGTGCCAGGGAGGGGTCTGCCCAGGAGGTGCAACCCACCTCTTTATCGCCTCCTACCTGCACTGTTGGAGGTGGTTGACATCTTTAGGAAAATGGAAAGTGTCTGGAAAGCGTGGAAAGTGGAAAGTGTCCATGTGAGGATAAAGCAACAATGTAACTGCAGATGTAACTGGGCAGTAGGGCATTTGCCTTGCATGCCCTGGGATCCAAGCCCAGTGCAGCAAAAATACAAAATGTGGGAGAATAAAAAGAAGAAGAGGATTGTAACACCCAGTACTTCCTCCAGTTGAGTAACTATGCATGTTTTGGACACGTGGGCAGTGAAGTCTTCACTGAACCCCAACCATTCGGAGCCTTCATTTTCCTTTTTTAGGAAGGAAAAAACAGTGATGGCACACAAGCTGTTATTAGAGGTTGATTTGAAATTAAGCCTCTAGGATCCTTATGCATATTCACAATAAGTTCTTGTTTTCACATTTTCAGGATTACATTAACATTGATATTCACAGTAATATCTGAGTCACCAAGTGTAGCACATTTTCATGACATGTTAAATTAGCTTTAGTATTCTGAGCCAACTAATGTGATAATGCTTATCAGTTGCTTAAATGATCCAATGCCCTTAAAATGAAAAGGGTTTTCAGTCGAGTCCAGGGTGAGACTCTTGTCTCCAGAGACTGACTAGTTCTGCAGCATTATCTTGGGGAGCTTTTCCAACTGTCCAAAACAGAGATTGTAACCAAAAATGTCCTGAATTTAAAAAGTGTCTCAGATGGGAAAATGGGTTACATTTGTAAGCAGTAAGTGACCTTGACAAGCTAAGAAAAATTTCTGAGTCAATTCGGGAGTTCACCTGGATCAGGAGAGGCACTGCACATACTGAATGAGAAAGGGTCTCGGCACTTCTGGAAGAAGCTGCACCTGGTCATTTGAGATGACTGAGAGATGGTGAATTTGTCTCCAGTTCTTGGATAGAAAAAAGTAGATTAAAAAAAAAAGGTGATAGTACATCGGGGAAGGTGCTTGGTTTGCATAAGACCAACCTGGGCTCAATCCCTCGAACCCGTAGGGTCCCCCGAGCCCCTCGGGGTGAACTGTGCACATCCAGCTCAGCAAGGGGGGGGGGGTGGTGTGGGTTCAGTCACAGCCTGAAGAAGGGCCAGGGTCGCCCCTCCCAGCTGCTTCTTCACCCTGTGCCGGTCCAGTTGCTGGCCCAGTTCTTCAGCCCTTCAGTCCCTGTAGGTCCTGGCCGGCCTCTGGCGTGGCTCTTTGGCTCACTCCTGGCAGGTTCTGGATGCTCGCTGCCCTCACACAGGAATGCGGAGCCCCGATCTAACCTACTTTAGGGATGGAAACGCTCTTTCCTAGTCTTCCCTTCTCCCCACATGACCTACTTTGCTAGTGGGCAACATCTGAAGTTTTCTGTTCCTCCCCTTTCACTCTCCCTTCTTCCTTCTCTCCCTCCCTCCCTCCTTCCCTCCCTTCCTTCTTTCCTTAGCACCCCCTCCTCTCACGTTCCCTCCCATCCTTCTGCTCAGGGCCACCCCTGGTGGTACTCGGGGGCCACAGGCAGTGTCAGACATGGAATCCCGTCTCCAGCACATGCAGCATGTGCTCTGCCACTGTGTCTTCTCTTGGCCTGTTTCTAATTTTTTTGTTTTTGGTTGGGGAGGCTAGAGGGTGTCTTTAGCTGTCGGCCCTTCAGCACAGGGGCCTGAGGGTGTGGTGTTGCCCAGGTCTGTTGGTGCTGGGGCTGGGGGCTTCAAACACCTGGCAGAGTTTGGAAGACCACGTGGCACCAGAAATTCAGCTTGGGTTGGGAACGTGCCAACCAGGCCTGTGCCCTAACCTATGAACTATCCCCCAACCCCCATTCATGCTTTTAAAAAGTAACTGTTAATGGCTGGGGCGCTGGGACAGTGGGGAAAGGGTTTGCCTTGCATGTGGCTGACCTGGGTTTTATCCTGGGTATCACAATTGGTCCCCCGAACGTCACCAGGAGTGATTTCTGGGTGCAGAGTCAGGGGCAGCATTGCTGGGTGTGACCCCCCCACCCTCTCCCCCAGAGAATAAAATCAGCTGTTAATAGGGTCCAGAGAGATAGTACAGCAGGTAGGGCACTTGCCTGCGTGTGGCCTTCTCCAGTTTGGTCCCTGGCACCATTTATGGTCCCCAGAATCCATCAGGAGTGATCCCTGAGCCAGGAGTCGGCTTTGAGCTTCTGGTCCCACAACCGTGAGAAAGAAAAGTAAAAATGAAACAATGAAACAAACTCTTCACAACAAGCTTCTAAATGAGCTGAGATCATTGATCTACTTAGTGTTTGTTTCATGCAAAGTTGAAACTTAGTTTCCTCAGGGACCATTGGGGCTTCTTTCTGCTTCCTGTTTGTTTCCAGCTGACAGGTTTGAGAGCAATGGTCTGATGTGTCAGGAGCAAGTGACAGTGTGGCCATAAAGTCGCCTTAGATGGCCGTCTTGACAATCCCTGTTTGGCCATGCTTCACTTGGTCATCCCACAATTTGTGGAAACCTCCTTGCCAGTGTGCCTGGCGGCTTTCAGTGGCGATCACTGAGTGCTAGAAGGGCGTGCAGTGTCGTGGGAGTCAGGGACAGGGAGGCTGTGGGTGCTTGGGAAGGGGCACCCGTGTGGCCACCCCAGCCTTTCCTTCCCACTGACCAGAGGGGAGCCAAGAAGGGCTATCAGCTGGGGCCCTGCCGAGCCTCCGAGGAGGGGTGGCTGGGGACGGGGGAACCTGTCTTCTCTCAGTCCCTGTGTTTGTCCACAGGCGGAGAGAGAGCCTGCGGTGTGCACGAGCTGGTCTGCATCCGAAAAGGTGAGGGGCAAGGGCTGGGGGGCGGGGGGAGGGGGCTGGCATGGGGGCATGGGAAGTGGGGGGCTGGGGGTGTCCGGCGGGGATTGGCATCTGGGGTGGTCTCAGGGCTGACCTGTCTGGGTGTGGTGTCCAGCCCGGGGGTTCAGCGTCGCTGCTGTGCGGGGCTGGCCTGCTCCCAAGCTTCGGCTGTAGGGTGGGTGCAGGGGACCGAGGTCAGCAGTGCTTCCTTTCAGAAGGTTCCGGAAGCCAGTACTGGCTGCTTCCCTGCTCTGTTCCTGGACCCCGGAGGGAGGAGGATCGGCTGAGACTCAAGTGTGACCCTCCAGACCACTGCCCCCGTCCCTCTCCCACCACTGTGTCCCCATCCCCCACTCCAGCCCCATCCCCAGCCCCCCGCCCGGGGCTCCTCTGCTCTGTCCCTCTACCCTGGCTCCTGCCTCCCTGTGCCCCTGCCCCCAGCTCTTCCCCCAGCCCCCCATCCTCCTGCCTAGCTGATGCTGCTCGCCCTGGGACCCCGCAGGACGCACACCGCTGCCTGCAGGCCCAGATTTTCCCTCAGTGCGGCCAGGCTGTCGGGGCCGACTCTGGATGGCCGCGAGTCAGTGTTCCACGTGTTCTCGCATGACCGGGTCAGAACCCATGAGTCCCTCACATGATGTGCTCATGGCTCTGCCTGGGGTCTGACCTGGAGCTTTGGGAATGCTGCTGGCTTCTCCTGGCCCAGTGCTCGCAGTGGCCAGTCCCCCGCCTCCACCGGCCCAGCATCCTTGAGTCCATCTTTGGGCACATCCTTGGGAGGCTGGCCAGGCTCTGGGGTGTTGGACATCTCCTCTGTGCACTGCTCCCTGGGGGAAGCCAGGCAGGACAGGGAGGGCATGTCCTGAAGGGGCACAGGTGCCACAAAGGGTAGGGGGGACGGCCACTTAGGGGTCAGAGCTTAGATAGGCCAAAGCTCGGGTCTGAGGACGGGACCCTGCTGAGGCTCTGAGGTGCAGGGCCTGGTCACCCCGGGCTGTGCTGGGCCCTGTGGTCCATCTGGGCAGTGCGGGGATCCAGGCGATACCTAGCAGTATTGGGGTCCTCTGGTGATGAGCTTCTCCTTCCCACAAATATGGGTCCTGGCCCAGGTGCTCTTGGTGACTTGAGCAGGAAGAAGCTGCTCCCCCTGGTTCTGTCCTCCTCTGCTGGCCCCCGGGCTGTGGGCCCAAAGAGCTGGAGGGCATTCTGTGCTTTCCTTTTCCTTTTCTGTGTTAGTTTTTGGGCAGCACCTGACAGTGCTCAGTCAGGACTCACTCCAGGCAGTGCTTAGGGGACCAAATTGGTTGCCGGGGATAGAACCTGGGTCGGCTCTGTGCCTAGCAAACACCCTCCCCACTCTGCTATCACTCCAGTCCTACTTTTCCGTTTTCCTTCTCTTTATTTCAGTGTTTGGGTCACATCCGACTGTGCTTGGGGAACCTGGCGGTGCTAGGGACTGCTTGGGAGAACCCCTTCCTCCAAAAAGACGATGCTGTGTTTCCTACCCATTTCCTTTTTTTTTTTTAAATTTTTATTTGAAAATGAAACACCATGAGGTACTGTTGTAGACTTCCTTCTGAGTGAGGAAGATGCTGGCAGGACAGTTGCATTAACTGTAGGTCCCTGGCGCCATCTAGTGGGTAATAGGAAAATCTGCTTGAAAAATCACTAAAACACTCAGAGATGTTTTTTGTTGTTTTGTTTTGTTGTAGACTGAATTAGACACTTGAATGAATGTCTGGGCTTAAAATGTCCAAGTACGGTTTTTACATATTTATGTTTCTGGTGTTGCTTCTGGAAGGTGTGTGGGGAGCAACTTGTTTTGGTTTACATAGAGCTCGAGCGTCCCAGCCCCTCCTGGGAGGGTCCTCACAAGAGAAGCCCGGGAGGAGCTTCTGTCTTCAGGAGTCTGAGCAGGAAGCACGAGGCCGAAACTGCTCCTTATGTGCTTGATTAGAGTCTGGTTTCCCTTTATTCCCGTTCTCTGCTCAAGATTGATTTGGGCTTTTCGTAGCTGATATTGAATGAGATTTCAGTATTTTCTGGTGCTTGTCTTCTGTGGTTCATCGAACTTCATAAGGAGGGGACAGGGTGCCCCATGGCATCAGCCTCACTGAGGAACGTTTCCTCTGGAAGCATTTGCTCACTGAGATCCAGGCATGTCACAGGTCACTGCTGTCTGTGCCTTTCCTCCACGGCACCTGGAAGGCGGTGATCCATGAGTATCAGCATCCATGCTGACTTTTTTGTTCCTTTTGTCTGAAACCTGGAGCTCACAGCCCGGGTAGATTCGGACACAGTCCTCCAGTCTTGCATCATTTATTTCCACATGAAAATTTCAAGGCACTTTTTATTTGTGGAAGTAACTGAGATGTCGTGAAGGGAAACTGGAGGTCTCTATGACGCTTTGGTTTTCCTTCATTGTTCTCTGGGAATACGCTAGACACGTTCTCCTGGTGGATCCGAAAGGGAGCAGAGTAAATGGGATCTCCTGACCATAATCCCGGGAAAAATGAATTAGGACTTGGAAAATGAAAGCAGGAGTGACCTGGCTAGTGGAGGTCGACTGTTATCCTGTTCCCGTGAGGAAGGAGATGAATTATTGAAGGTCTTTCCTGAGGGTAGACAGTGACTGGTGGCTTGTGGCACTGCTCAGCCCCACTCACTCAGATGCAGACTGTAAGTTTTCTTTTTATTCTTCTTCAAAAAAACTTAAAAAACAGAGGCACTTTTTGCTTGATTTTGCATTTCAAATAGATAGAACAGTTCTGTAAAACTTATTATTTATAATGAATATTTTGATATTTTGATCCAAATAGATTGCACAAATAGTGAGAAATTTATTGGTTTAATCTATACCTCCCAAGGGGGCCAGAGCGATAGCACAGCGGATAGGGCGTTTGCCTTGCACGCGGCTGACCTGGGTTCGATCACTGGCATCCCATATGGTCCCCCCAAGCACCACCAGGAGTAATTCCTGAGTGCAAAGCCAGGAGTAATCCCTGAGCATTGCTGGGTGTGACCCAAAAAGCAAAAAACAAACAAACAAAAAAACCCCCAAAATCTATACCTCTCTTATTTTTATGTTTTTGTGTATATTCTAGCATGATTATTAGAAGATTTTTGTCATATAGATTTTTTTGGGCAGGGCTTTGGACACCTGTAGGGCTCAGGGGCTCCTCTCAGCTCTGTGCCTGGGGTGCTCCCTGCAGCGTGGGGCGGGGAGCGGGCGTGGTGCCAGAGATGAAACTGAGTCCGCCTCAGACAAGGCCAGCACTCGTCCACACCTCCTGTGCTCTCTCTTGCCCCCGAAGATGTTCTTCCTGTTCAAAGAAGAAAGCAGAATCAAGTGATCGCTTCTGTTGACGCCCTCACAGCTTTGTACTTGCTTTCTCCATCACAGAGTCTAAGATGGATTTTTTTTTTTTTTTGCTTTTTGGGTCACACCCAGCGTTGCACAGGGGTTACTCCTGGCTCATGCACTCAGGAATTACTCCTGGCAGTGCTCGGGGGACCACATGGGATGCTGGGAATTAAACCTGGGTCGGCCGTGTGCAAGGCCCTACCCGCTGTACTATCACTCCAGCCCCCTAAGATGGATTTTGCCGCCATGACTGAGGCTTGTATTTCGACAGAACTGTCCTCAGACATTTCCCCTCACACTCATTTCTGAAGAGCTAATGGGTGAGCAGTGAAGCGGGATCAGCACAGGTCAGACGAGGCTGAGCCTTGGCTCTGCAGGACTGTCCTCTGCTCAAAGAGACCCTGTTCCTGTCTGCATCACTCTCCTGTGCAGGCCAAGTCACTGTGTCTGCCTCTCTTCCTGCTTTTCTGAACCTGATGCCCAAGATCTGCTATTGGTACAGGCCAATGCACAGGGCTGCCACGAGTGTTCTGGGAGCTGTGTTGGAGGGAAGAGGCTAGTGCAGGTGACCATCAGTGTTTTCATTCTGAGGCCGCTGGAGCAGCCTAGGACTCTCAGGCAGAAAGGGAAAGGCTCATGGAGTTGTGTTTGCTGGGGGCCATGCCATGGGTGCCCACCTCCATGGCCTGGCTCTCTGAATGTTTCATGTTGGAGTTGGGTAGACCAAAACTCTGGGTTCTGAGTCTGAATGTCTAGATACTTCTCCGGGTTTCTGGGCCCATGTCTGGGTGTCTGGACCCATATCCAGGTGTCTGGATTCCTGTAGTGGTATCTGGGTGACATATGGGTGTCTGCGTAGTGTCGGATCTGGTGACGTCTGGGTATCTGGGTGACATCTGGGTGTCTGAGTGAGGTGGACTATCTCAATCTGGTACAGATGCAGCTGTTTCCTGGATATGCAGAAAAAGTAATTCCTACTTCTTATGTGCAACTTCCTAGACAAATGTGAAAAAAGGGGTTTCTGAAGATCAGAGAGTGGTTCCCCGAGTCGGAGAGTTGTACCCATGGTCAGAGAGTTGTTTCCATGGCCAGGGAGTCCGCAGGGTCAGAGAGTTGTTCGTACAGTCAGAAAGTTACTCCCATGGTCAGAGAGTTGTTCCTACAGTCATAGAGGTACTCCCAGGGTCAGACAGTTGTTCCTACCGTCAGAGAATACTCCCACTGTGAGAGAATTGTTCTTACCGTCAGAGAGTTACTCCCATGGTCAGAGACTTGTTCCTACAGTCAGAGTTACTCCCATGGTCAGAGAGTTGTTCCTACAGTCAGAAGTTACTCTCACGGTTAGACTTGTTCCTATGCTTAGAGAGTTACTCCCATGGTCACAGAGTTGTACCTACGGTCTAAGAATTTCTCCCAGGTCAGAGAATTGTTCCTATGGTCAGAGTAACTCCCATGGTGAGATAGTGACTCTCATGGTCAGAGAGTTATTCCTACAGTCAGAGAGTTACTCCCATGGTCAGAGAGTTGTTCCTACAGCCAGAGATTTACTCTCGTGGTCAGAGAGTTGTTCCTACACCCAGAGAGTTACTCCCATGGTCACAGAGTTGCTACTACAGTGAGAGAGTTACTCCCATGGTCACAGAGTTGTTCCTACAGTGAGGGTGTTGGTCTTACAGTCATGATTAGAGTTGTTCCTACAGTCAGAGTTATTCCCATAGTCAGAGAGTTGTTCCTATGGTCAGAGAATTTTTCCTACAGTCAGAGAGTCACTCCCACAATCATAGAGTTATTGCCATGGTCAGAGATGTGTTCCTATGGTCAGAGAGTTACTCCCACGGTCAGAGAGTTGTTCCTGTGGTCAGAGAGATACTCCCATGGTCACAGAATTGTTCCTGCAGTCAGAGAGTTACTCCCACGGTCAGAGAGTTGTTTCTATAATCAGAGAGTTACTTCCATGATCAGAAGAGTTGTTTCTACAGCCAGAGAGTTACTCCCATGGTCACAGAATTGTTGCTGTGGTCAGAGAGTTGTTCCTAAAGTCAGTGAGTTACTTCCACAGTCCGAGATTTGTTCCTACACTCAGAGAGTTACTCCCATGGTCAGAGAGTTGTTACTACAGTTAGAGAGTTATTCCCATGGTCAGACAGTTGTTCCTGCAGTCAGAGAGTTACTCCCACAGTCGGAGAGTATTTCCTGTGGTCAGAAAGTTACTCCCACAGTCACAGAGTTGTTTCTACAGTCAGAGAGTAACTCCTACTGTCAGAGTTGTTTCTATGCTCAGAGCGTCACTCCCATGGTCACAGAATTGTACCTACAGTCAAAGAGTTTCTCCCATGGTCAAAGAGTTGTTCCTGCGGTCAGAGAGTTACTCCCATGGTGAGAGAGTTATTCTCATGGTCAGAGAGTTATTCCTACAGTCAGAGATTTACTCTCACGGCCAGAGAGTTGTTTCTGCAGTCATAGTGTTACTTCCACGGGCACAGAGTTGTTCCTTACAGTCAAAGGATTACTCCCATGGTCAGAGAGTTGTTTCTACAGTCGGAGAGTTACTCCTATGGTCAGAAAGTTGTTCTCATGGTCAGAGAGTTACTCCTACAGTCAGAGAGTTACTCCCACAGTCACAGAGTTGTTCACACAGTCAGGGATTTTCTCTCATGGTCAGAGTTGTTCGTACAGTCATAGCATTACTCCTATGGTCAGAGAGTTGTTCCTATAGTCAGAGAGTTACTCCCATGGTCAGAGACTTACTCTCCTGGTAAGAGATTTATTCCTACAATTAGAGAGTTACTCTCACAGTCAGAGAGTTACTCTCACGGCAAGAGAGTTAGTTGTTCCTACTGTAAGAGAGTTACTCCCACGGTCAGAAAGTCGTTCCTATAGTCAGAGAGTCTCTCTCATGGTCAGAGATTTATCTACAATTAGAGAGTTACTCCCACAGTCAGAGAGTTATTCCCCGGTAAGAGAGTTGTTCCTATACCAAGAGAGTTACTCCCGCAGTCAGAGAGTTACTCTCATGGTCAAAGAGTTATTCCTATGGTCAGAAAGTTACTCCCATGGTCAGAGATTTGTTCCTACAGTCAGAGAGTTACTCCCACGGTCGAGAGTTATTCCTACAGTCAGAACATTACTCTCACAGTCAGAGAGTTGTTCCTACCGTTAGAGAGTTACTCCCATGGTCACAGAGTTGTTCTACAGTCATAGCATTATTCTCATGGTCAGAGAGTTCTCACAGTCAGAGTTACTCCCATAGCCAGATAGTTGTTCTCATAGTCAGAGTTTTTTTGGTGGCCAGGGACTTGCTCAGGGACTTTTTTCTCAGCATTCATGGACTCCGGAGGCAGTGCTGACCTGGCCAAGCACCAGGGACTCTGAATGTCAGGTTTTGGGACATGGGGGATTCTAGTAAGTCCGAGAGCCCTCTCCCTGCTCTCCTCTGAGGCTCACCTCCGTGTCTGAACTGGCTAAAGTGAGGTTCCCCCAAGAAGCTCTAGGACTCCTTGTGCCTGAGTTAGCTGTAAGTCTGTGCATTCTGTCACTTTGGCTATCAGCTGAGGCCGCTTTTCCCTTTTATTCTTGGTTTTCAGGTCACACCCAACGGTGCTCAGGGCTTATTCCTGGCGCAGCGCTCAGGGATCACTCTGGCAGGGCTTGGGCAGTGTGGTGCAGTCACTCCTAGAGAGTACATTCCTGGTGGTGCTGGGGCTTGTCAGAAAGCAGAGAGAGGCTGTAGGGGCCCTGAGGGGCAGAAACAGACACCCTCATTCTCACCGATATGATCCAGTCACTGGCTGCACAGGGGGCCTGTCCCCACTGTCCCCAAGACCCGGCCTATAACTGGGGGTGTGGGGAGACAGAGTAAGTGCTGCTGAATGAACCGGGCAGCTGGTTGAACCGTTGAGTGGGCCTCTGAGCACCGAGAGGTCGGGGTTCGTGCGGGTGCTCACCCTCTGCCCTTTCCCAGTGTCCCCAGAGGCAGTGGCCGTGCTGTCAGCCATGGGCGCCTTCATCGTCTTCATGCTGCTGCTCTTGGTCTACATCAACAAGAAGTTCTGCGTGGACAGCGTGGGCGGCTTCCCAGAGTCCGGCTCCAGCCACAGCACCAGGCACGGCTCGCAGGACAAGCTCTGTGAGTAGCCACATGCCCACAGGCCCTTCCCCAGCCCAGAGCCAGACACGGGTGATGTAGGTGTTGATGCCAGGACACAGCCCTGAGCACTCTCCAGAGGGCCCAAGGCCATGGAAACCACCCTCCCTCCAACTCCTGGCTTCTTACTGCTCAGAGAAGCATTTCCAAAGGCACTGGGGTACTGGTCCGTCTGAGTGGAGTACAGGGCCTCTCTCCAGAGCCAGGTGGCCTGGAGCCAGGCCTGCCCAGGGCAGGTGGTCTTCCTTCTCCTCTGGAGAGGGAGGAGTGTCACAGTGCCAGTTTGCTCCTGCTGTCACGGCCCAGGGTTTGGTTCTAGAGGGCTGGAGGCCACAGGCAGGAAAGCACATGGAGTACATCTGGTCTGACAGCTGGGCATGCGTGCCCACGCCGAGGACATGCCGCTGACTCTGTCACCTTCAACTTGGTCTCTACAGGCTGCTGGGTTCCCCTGGGGCGATTCTGCTTCCCTCTGCCTGCCCCTGCCTTCAGCCCCACAAAAGCCTTTGTCCTATGGCTGATACCACTTTTGCTCGAAAGGCCCTCCCGTTGATCATCGATTTGCTCGAGCGGGCCCAGTAACGTCTCCATCGGAGACTTTGTTGTTACTGTGTTTGGCATATCGAATACGTCACGGGGAGCTTGCCAGGCTCTGCCGTGCGGGCGAGATACTCTCGGTAGCTTGCTGGGTTCTCCGAGAGGGGCGGAGGAATCGAACTCGGGTCGGTCATGTTGGCTGCGTGCAAGGCAAACGCCCTACCGCTGTGCTATCGCTCCAGCCCACTTTACTCTCTCATTATCAAGGGCCTCACAAAATCTTGGGCTACTTACAGGGCAGAAGTCAAAACTCAGAAAATTGAGAAAAGTTTTGGGGGTTATTTGGGAATGAATACGTATATTTTCCATGAAATAACTGAAAAAAGTCAGCAATAATCCTATAACATGTTGCTGTAAGTAATGTGCTTTATTTAAATAACGAAAACAAAAACAAAAAGCACCTTCAGGGACCAGAGAGAGCACAGCTGGGAGGGCGCCTACCTTGCATGTGGCCAACCTCGGTCCCATCCCTGTACCCCATATGTTCTCCCAGCTCTGCCAGGAGTGATCCCTGAGCACTGATACTCCTACCCCACCCCCAACAAAACCTCAAAATAACCAAATAACCCTCTGTGTTAATAAAGAAAAAAGATTTGGTGAAAAAGACCACATCGGCCTTTGTCTCTGGATGTCCCCCGGGAGGGGCTGTGGGCCTGCTGGTGCGCCCGGGACCCTCCACGAACAGAGGCGTGAGTGCCTTGGGTCCGGCTGCTTCTTTCCTGACCTGTCTCCCTGTCGCATCGTGGCAGGAGGCCCCTGCCCCCGCGCCCTCCGCCTCCCCACTGTTGCAGGACTGGGCAGAGACACTGGTGTTGTGTGCAGGGAGGGCCCCGTGCTGGGTGTCCTCCGACCCCTCTGAACCCTGCACAGACACACAGACTGTCGCCAAGGGAACAGAGGCCGTTGTTAACACCCCTTTTATGCTTCTTGCAGGTGTAGAATTAGAAAAAAGCCGGCAGCATTTGAGGGGAAGTTATGGTCTTGCTGCTGTTCCCGCAGCTCTGGAGTAGGGGGTGTCCACCGCGCAGCCTGTCTGGGCCCCCCCGCCCCCAGCCTTGACCTGGCGAGCACTGGCGTGGGGCTGGCACGCTGGTCGCCTCAGCTGTACTGCGGGGCCCAACTCCCCATGGCTTTCCTCGGGTCCTTCCAGCAGAGCCTGCCGTCCATGTCCTCACTGGTGGACAGCCTCGGTGGGGCTGTGGAGGGCCTGAGTGCTGCCGTGGGCCAGGCCACCGGGGCCTTTGCCGACTCGCTGGCGGAGCGGGTGACAAGCCTGGTGAGTGGCCTCCAGGTGGCTCAGGAACAGGGGTTTGCAGCAGACAGGGCCACCAAGACCCCTGAACCAGCGGAGGCAGCCCTCGCCGATGACTCTCTGCCTGAGCTCAGGGTGGGCCATGCCCACCCCCACAGCACCCCCCTGCCTTCGGATCCAGGCGTGAGTGAGGGCAGCGGGCAAGACAGTGGCCACCCTGGCATGGGCCTGCGGGCTGTGTCAGGGGTCCCCCATGACAGCGGAGCTGAGGATGCAGGCCACAGATGGATGAGACATCCTAAAGGTATCAGACATGGGGACCCCAAGGGCCGCTGGGGAGGACATGCCTCTCCAGCACCGCCAGCCGCCCCAAGAACTCAGTTCCAGGGACGAGTCAGAGGCCATGGACCCGAACCCCGCAGAGCCAGAGGGGACAGAGGGACCAGGACCACGGACTTCGACAATGGCGGGGCTGTGGAGAAGGGGACAGCATGGGGCGGAGGTGACGGTGTCCCGGAGAGAGTGCCCAATGCAGGTGAGGCCCTTGTGGTGGGCGCGGCAACTGCCCCTCAGGCCTGAGGGAGCAGCGCGTGCTTTCCGGCCTGTCCTTCTGCCTCCAGCTGGACTCTCGACCCTTCTCTCTGGATGACACTTTCACATACTTCTCCCCACCCTTCTCTGTCCCCTGCGGACTCGCTGTGCTCCCCGTTCCGCGGCTTTGGCTACATTTGTTCCTCCTGTGCTCTGGATCATGGTCTGAAAGTGTTTGCTTGGAACTTTTGCCAGAAGAGAAGAAGGGCTGGATTAGGACCCCAGCGTTTAACTGGTTGCTGAGCTGCAAAATCTTAGTTTGAAAATGAATATTCCTCCGAATATTTCTCTCTCTTTCTCTCTCTCTCTCTGGCATTGGGCCACACTCAGGAATCACTCTGGCACTGCTGGGGGACCCTGTGCAGTGTTGGGGACCAAATCCTGGTCAGCCACATGTAAGGCCCTCACCAGCCCTGTGCTCTGCTCCCCAGCCTCCTTGATCTCCGCCTTCCTGCACACCAACTGTGCCTGGTCTTCTTAAGCAGTTGGCGTCCTGAGGGGGAGTGTGTCTGGTGCCCTCAAGGGTTTGTAAAGTCTGCCATTTCTAAGCAGCGCCTGACCCTTATGCCCTGCGTCTCTTCGATCTGCCCTCATCAGAATCTAGACAGAATGATCTGTGTTTTCCTCGAGAACCATATGGAGATGGGTGGCAGAAGCAAGCCCTGGTTATTCGGGAGTGTTCTCAGACTCAAGGTGCCAGCCCCACAGCTGGTGACAGTCAGTGGCTGTGTGGCTTGAGAAATGGCATCATTCTCTCCCCCCGGAAATCCTCCTCATGGCCACTTATTACTCATAGGATCTGAATGGACGCAAACAACGGGGTTTTGTGTGTAAAATACACACCAAGGATTTTTGTATGAACTTCGAGTATCATAAAATAGAGCAACAGCAAACCAAAACACTGAAGCCCAAAAGTGGTGGCCAGGAGGGAGTACCCAACCCCCATAACCACTCTTTTGAGTGCACCCAAGGTTCAGTGCCAGGTGGGCCAGGTCCACCCAGAGGGACCTAATGTTTGGAAACGGTCCATTTGGGCACATTTCGCCCAAGGATTTTGGCGTGTCAGGCTCTGTATCCTTTGTAGGCTGGATTTAGTTTGGAAGCCTTGTTAATTGGGAAAAAACAAATAAAAGAAGAAAAAAAGATTAGTAGATTTACGAATGGATTGGGCTGGAGCAATAGCACAGCGGTAGGGCGTTTGCCTTGCACGCAGCTGGCCGGCCGAGCCGGGTTCAATTCCTCCGCGATTCCTCCGCCCCTCTCGGAGAGCCTGGAAAGCTACTGAGAGTATCTTGCCCTCATGGCAAAGCCTGGCAAGCTACCCATGAAGTATTCGATATGCCAAGCACGGTAACAACGAGTCTCACAATGGAGACGTTACTGGGCCCGCTCGAGCGAATCGATGAACAACGGGAGGACAGTGCTACGGGACAGTGCTGCAGTGCTATGAATGGGTTATTTTATTCAGTTAATAGCAATGAGCAGATGAGGCATGTTAAGTAGTTTGCAAGTACCCTATGAAGTTCTCGATTTTGATTTGATTTGTCTTCATCGAGAAGTATACTGGGCATTAGAGAGGGAGCACAGTGGGTCACTTGCCTTGCCTGTGGCCAACCTGGGCTGAGTCTCCAGCACTCCATATAGTCCTCCAAGCCCTGCCAGGAGTGATCCCTGAGTGCAGAGGCAGGAGAAGCCTGAGCATCACCTGGTGTGGCCCATATACTCCCAAACAAAAGCGAACAGAAGGAAGATGCGGTGACCTCAGCCAGGCCAACCTCTCTCCAGCCAGGGCGACCTCTCTCTCGAGAGACCCGAGTCCAAAGGCCCCCCACCTGCCTGGGCGCTGCTCAGTCCCACCTGGTTGTAGGTGGGTTTGTGCTCTGGGCGCAGACCATGATAATGGTGCTTTAGAAAGTAACATCCAAGCACTGTTGTTTATCTCTCTCTTCCGACCTTCCTCCTACGTGAGATTTAGGCATGTTTAGGTAGATTTTTCCTGGTCATTCCACTTTCTTACACATGACAGGTGATTAAGTGTGGTGTGCAGCCATTCAGGACGCTTGTCATGCGCCCATCCTTGCGCTCATGTAGTGTTTGGAATGAGAATGTCAACTTTCCACCTACTTTGGCATACAGGTACTCTACATGAGTGCTCACCTAAGTACCTCTAAGTGCTCAGCACTTGTGCTGGGGGCCTGCACACTGTCTCCAGCTGCCCAGGCCGGGTGACCATGGGGTCTCAGTTCCCCTTCACTGTTGGACAGGGAGCCATGAGCCTCTCTGCAAATGGGCTCTAATGCTCAATATTTTCTGAATGGAAGTATGGAGTTCCTCGAAATGGCTCAGAGACAGAGCGATGAAGAATTATTCCACCTTACCCAAACACTGGCTGCACAGTCTTCAGTGTGTGTGTGGTTCTTTCTACAGCACAGCCTGTCCACTTCTGCCCTGCTCAACACCGAGCAGTGTCAGTGTTGGGACAATTGGTAGCTGAAAATGTCTCTCGAAGTACACATCATTTGAATTGGGTCTGTGGGTGCTGCTGACAGTTTCCTGAATTTGATGCTGATCAGTGAGAAAAAATGCAAGATTGTGATCTGGGGTTCCTGCGCTGTCAGAACATGCTCATGAATCTTCTGCGAGAGCTTGAAAATCTGAAGCTTGGGCTTTGTGAACGGCACTGTCCTGTTTCTCCATGACACTTATGTGGTGTGTGTGTGTGCGTATGTGTGTGCGTGCGCGCATATCAGCCCATGTATGTGTGTCTTCTGGTGTGTGTCCACCTGTTTGTGTACATGTTCACCTGCATGTGTGTGCTCAACAGCATGTGTACGTGTCTGCCCACGTGTATGTGTGTCTGTTCGTGAAATTGTGTTCGTATATGTGCATGCTTGCCATGCATGCGTGTCCCTGCTCACATGTGTGTGCCCACCTGTGTGTGTACCTGCCTGCTTGTGTGTGCCCACCTAATATGTGCCCACCTGTGTGCCCAGCTGCGTGTGCCTGCTGTATGTGTGTCCACCTGCGTGCCTGCCTGTGTATGCCCACCTGTGTGGTTTCCTGCCTGTGTGTGTGCCTGCCTGTGTGTGCTTGCCTGTGTGTGTGCCTGCCTGTGTATGCCCACCTGTGTGTTTTCCTGCCTGTGTGTGTGCCTGCCTGTGTGTGCTTGCCTGTGTGTGTGCCTGCCTATGTGTGTGCCCGCCTGTGTGTGTGCCAGCCTGTGTGTCCCCGCCTGTGTGTGCCTGCCTGTGTGTGTGCCCGCCTGTGTGTATGCCTGCCTGTGTGTGCCCGCCTGTGTGCCTGCTTGTGTGTGTGCCTGCCTGTGTGTGTGCCCGCTTGTGTGTATGCCCGCCTGTGTGTGTGCCCACCTGTGTGTGTGCCTCCCTGTGTGTGCCCGCCTGTGTTTGCCTGCCTGTGTGTGCCTGCCTATGTGTGCCCGCCTGTGTTTGCCTGCCTGTGTGTACCTGCCTGTGTATATATGCCTGTGTGTGTGCCCACCTGCCTGTGTGTGTTTGCCTGTTGTGTCCCTTTCTGCATGTGCGTGTTGCCGCCCGCATGTAGGTGTGTGCCTGTGTGGTCCCTGCCCATGTGTGTGCTGTGGCCCAGACACAGAGCTCTGCAGCTTCTCATTGCTGGGCTTACGCGCTCTCCTTGTCCCCACAGACAACTCCTACCTGGACAAAGAGGAGCACGGCTCATCCTCGGAGAGTGAGGACGAGGCGCTGGGCAAGTACCATGAGGCCGTGTCCAGGACCCACAGTGCCAGGCTCCCCGCGGCTGAGGCGAGAGCGCAGAGCTCGTTGTGGGAGACCCGGCAGAAGTACAGCCCTCTCGCCGCTGAGCACGACGGCTACGGCAGTGAGGCGTCCCTGGACGGAGGTGAGCTGGCTGGCTCTGAGGACACGGTGTGCCCTGGCTCGTATCTTCCTCTCCAGCCCCAGCCCACACCCGCATTCAAACACAACACTGCCCAGTGATGTGTGTCTGCAGATGGGGGGGGATGACGAGCAGCCCGAGGAGGGCAGTGGTGGGGACGTGCAGCTGGAGGGGTGGCAGGATGAGGCGTAGGTCTTGGCTTTGGCAGCGGAGCCTGCGGGCAGGTGCTGTGTTCACGCCTCTCGCCAGCCTCAGGGTGTGCTCAGTGCCGACAGCTGCCTTCCCTCCGATATGCCCCTCCCCCCAGGGGGCTCTGGAGCAGGAGTGACGTCTGAGCCACTGTGGGATTCAGCGGCAGAGATGCAGCGTTGGACTGTGCAGCCTGGGGTGTCGGTCGGGCCGGGGGCCTCTGACTTGCGTGGACATCTGTCCCGGCCTTTCCGGGTTCACACGGTGCCTTTCTCCCCACGTTGTCGGCTCTGCTCTAAGATATGACATGGGTCTCAATGTTAAAATGATCTGAAAATTCCCTTAACTTGGGGCTCTACTCCACAAGCTGTCCAAAATGGGTCTGGAAATCAGGACAGAAAACTCTGAGCTCGTACCAGCTGGTTCTTGGAGGGTTTTCGGGATACTCCAGAAAGGGGAACCTCCTGGAGAGAGAGGGAGTCTGGCACAGCGTGGCCCTGGGCTCCTGCTCTGCGTCCCTCTGGGTGGCAGCTCGCCCTGCACTGACCGGGCTTGGGTTGCTACTCCTCTCTGTGTCAGAGGGGATACGGGATGGGCCGAGCCAAGAAGTGGGGCATCACCAGCCTAGGAGCTCCCACAGTGCAGCCAAGCCTGCTCCCTGGTGGAGCCTTTGTCTCTGCCAGGAGACAGAAAAGTATGCCCAGCTTTTTCAAGAGCCTCATCGCTAGGGAGGTTAGTGGCCCCGAGGCCTGTCAGCTGCTCAGCACCCCAGATTGTGCTCACACCCACATTAATTTTACTCTGTTTTGCTGTCCCTGGACACAAACACACTGCATCTAAGCATTTCCTCGTGCTTGCCAGTGATGTTGGACCAAACTCACAAGCGCCCCCAAAAAGTCACGGCCGGGGCTCCCACGTGTCTGGTGAGGCACGGAAATGATGAGCAAGGACTCTGCTGGCAGAAGAGACATTCCCTCCTGAGCTGTACCCTTCACGGGCCCTGGATCAAGTTTTTGGTGAATATTTATAATTTGTGTAGACTGAGCCCTGGTTATGCTTTAAAATTTTTTTTTTCAGATAGCAGAAACTCACTGAGAGGAGAGTGCTGAGGGGGGAGAGTCAAATCTTGTGGCAGGACTTGACCCACACAGTCCCTAAAACTCGTCGGAATCTGATAGACTCGAGTGTTTGGAGACATGGAGGGTATTTCTAGACATGATGCTTGTTACTGAAACCCACTAATTGTGGGGATTTTATTTGAGAAGTAGAAATAAAACCCACTTTGCGAATATTAAAGCTATCATCTGGATTTCGGTGCAGGGGTAGTTTTCAGGTCAGCTCAGTCCTGAGGATCAGTGCTGTCGTCCGCCTGCTCTCCGGCTGGGGGGAGCAGCACGCGTTGTCGTTGTGAGCTGAACTTTGCTGTCTGAATCTAGTTCAGCATTATCTTTCACTGCTTGGAATTAATTTTCTGAGACTTAGAATGGACAGTCCTACTGCCAGTGCCACGGAACGGCATGAGCAAGGGCTCCGGGGCCCATGCCGTCCTTCCTTACTTATTCTTTCGATTATTTATTTTTTCCTCTCCCAGCGGCATACAGTTCTATGTGGCCCAGTATTTTGGGCATTCCATTGCAGAAAGTATCAATTTGTCACATAAAGAGAAAAATTAGGTCTACTTTATTCATGTTCAAGTCACACCCTGATATCTTTAGAGGCAGATTTTACCTCAAATCTCCTGGTCTGCGGATATTGATTGAATTATGCATGGCTGTCTGCTGAGTGGTTACATTAGCCTGCTGGATAGATCCCGTAAACATGCTCTGAATTTTAAGTGCATGACAGTGTACCAGTGGAAGGTAAAAATAGAACTAATAACCAAGTGCGTCTTTGGAGACTTGGCTCTAACAGTGCAGAACTGCTCAGGGCCAGTATGTGCGGATCATCGCCTGCCAGTGGAGGGACTCGTGCTTTAGACAGGAAGATGCGGCACCTGAGATGCATGGGCAGACTCCCGCCTCCCCTGCTGAACTCGGGCAGGAACGCCGTGGCCACCGTGGACGATCATGTCCCTCTGCGTTTGCTGGCTGAAATCTAAGAAAATTCTAGGCATAAATAGGCGGGAGGCCCTCTGTTGCTGGTTCCAGAGCAGCCGCTGACCCGGCACTCTGAAGCCCGAGGCAGCACTAGGCCCCGGAGCCCTTGCTCATGCCGTTCTGTGGCACTGGCAGTAGGACTGTCCATTCTGAGTTCTTTCTCTACCCACAACACCCGTTTTGTTTTTTGTATTTTTGGCTTTTTGGCTTTTGGGTCACACCTGGCGGTGCTTAGGAGTTATTCCTGGCTCTGAGCTCAGGAATCACTCTGGGTGGTGCTCAGGGAACCATATGGGATGCCAGGGGTCGAAGCCAGGCTGGCATATGACAGCCTACACCCTACCCACTGTACTACTGCTCTGGCCCTGCCTTTGACATCGATTTTATTTTACATTTCTAAATACAGATGTCCTCTAATTGTGAAAATAATCTGAATTGCATTTTGTGTGGGTTTGTCTTTGGACCACACCCAGCAGTGTTCTGGGGTTACTCTGGCTCTGTGCTTAGGAATCACTCCTGGTGGTGCTCAGAGGGCCATATGGGATGCTGGGGATCGAACCCAGGTTGGCCGTCCCCTCTGTACATGGCCCCTGCCCACGTGTTTCAAACATTTTCTGACTTGTTTGTTGAACGCTTATATCACACAGCTGTGGATGTATGTCTCTGTGGACTTGCTCGGCTCTTGGTAAATTTGGGCCCTTTGTTTTTTTCCATGGGCTGGAGCGATAGCACAGCGGTAGGGCATTTGCCTTGCGCACGGCCCGGCCTGGCTGAGCCAGGTTCGATTCCTCTGCCCCTCTCGGAGACCCAGGCAAGCTACCGAGAGTATCTCGCCTGCACGGCAAAGCCTGGCAAGCTCCCCGTGATGTATTTGTTATGCCGAACACAGTAACAAGTGTCACAATGGAGACGTTACTGGACCCACTCGAGCAAATCGATGAACAACGGGAGGACAGTGACAGTGACAATTTTTTTCCATACCCAGCAGTGCTCAGGGCTTAATTCCTGGCTCTGTACACAGGGGTCACTTTTGCTGGTACTCAGGGGCTGCATGTGTGTCAGCTGTGTGCAAAGGATGTGCCCTGCCAGCTGTTCTCTCTCCCATGGGCTATTTGGATGGCAGCATTGAACTAGAAGCCTCCTTCCTTCCCTCTGAAGTGGGCTACGCCACATTGCTTTCTCTGGTGGCTTTTTATTACAGACAGATGTGTTTTGGGGGCTTTTTTTCCCCTCTATCTTTGCCCGATAATGGGCTGTAATATCACCATGTCACAGTCCTCCTGTCCCTAAGACATGACTCCTCCAGGCGAGCATTGTGGCCCTTCTTTATGTCCAGTGTGGGATTTGGGGCCCCCAAGCAGCTCTCAGGGCCCCCAGAGCACCTCCTGAAAATGTTCGGTCAACCTGCAGGAAGGTGCAGAGCTGGAGCTGGGGACGTGCAGGCCATCCCCACAGAGCCAGGATCGCACTTGGGGTCTCGGGCGTGCACCCGCCCTTTATGCTCCCCTCTGCCCCTCCCAGTCTCCCCTGAGCCCTGAGTCTGGTTGCCCGCAGAGGCTGTCCTGTGCCACTGCTATGACCCACCTTCTCTCCTCCTGGTCTGCGTTTAGGGCTGGAGGCTCACCCGTGCCATCTCTGCACTTCCTGGGGACTTGGCATCGGCTGGCACATGCCCTCCTGCGCACCGCAGCCCTCCCTGGCTCTCTGCTGCTCCTAGCCGGGACACACACCCAGGCCCCCCAAATTCCCAAACTGTGGACACACACCCAGACCCCCAGACCGTGGACACACACCCAGACCCTCAGACTGAGGACACACACCCAGACCCCCAGACCCCCAAACCATGGGTACACCCAGAACCCCCAGACCATAGACACACACCCAGAAACCCAGACCCCCAAACCATGGGCACACCCAGACCCCCAGACCACGGACACACACCCAGACACCCAGACTGTGGACACACACCCAGACCCCCAGACTGTGGACACACACCTAGAAACCCAGACCCCCAAACCATGGGCACACCCAGACCCCCAGACCACGGACACACACCCAGACACCCAGACCATGGACACACACCCAAAACCCCAGACCCCCAAACCATGGGCATACCCAGACCCCCCAGACCATGACACACCCCCAGACCCCCAGACCATGGATGCACACCCAGACACCCAGACCGTGGACACACACCCAGAACCCCAGACCCCCAAACCATGGGCACACCCAGAACCCCCAGACCGTAGATACACATCCAGACCCCCAGAACATTGACCCACACCCAGATCCCCAGACCATGGACACACACCCAGATCCCCAGACCGTGGACACACACCCAGACCCCCAGACCGAGGACACACACCCAGACCCCCAGACCGTGGACACACACCCAGAACCCCAGACCCCCAAATCATGGACACACCCAGACCCCCCAGACCACAGACACACACCCAGACCCCCAGACTGTGGACACACACCGAAACCCCCAGACCACGGACACACACCCAGACCCCCAGACTGTGGACACACACCCAGATCCCCAGACCATGGACACACACCTCAACCCCCAGACCGAGGACACAAACCCAGACCCCCAGACACCCAGACCATGGATACACACCCAGACCCCCCAGATCGTGGACACACACCCAGAACCCCAGACCCCCCAAACCATAGGCACACCCAGACCCGCCAGACCGTGGCCACTCCCAGACA